ATCTACAACAATATTATTGATGCAAGTAGATATGAAAGAAGTGAATACATTAAAATAGCCGAGAGAATTGCAAATTTCACCAAAAAGTTGGCCTCGAAATGGAGAGAGAACCATTGAGTTCGAAAGAACTTTGAAAAAGACAACGAGGAATGGTTAGATGGCAAACTTATATTGGTGGACCTCAACGCAAAAGGTGGGCGACCCGAAATGGAGTTTGCAGAGTGTCAGGAAAAAACAAAGAAGAAAAAAATTCTGGATGTGAAATTGATACTGATGCCTTTCAGCAGTAGGCGTATGGTACAGAAACCATATTTGTCGATTTATACCCATGGTTCTATATGCCTACATCTGCCCACAAAATCTTACTTCATGGTGCAGAAAGCATAAGATATGTTTCCCTACCGATAGGTATGATGTCGGAAGAAGCACTCGAGGCCAGAAATAAAGATCTAAGAAACTTTCGGTTGCGCCACACTCGAAAAAATACGCTCGAAAACACTGTGAAAGACTTGGCGCATTCACTCTTTATTTCATCTGACCCGCTTATCACCATGCTATCCAAAGGATCTCCATCTTCATCTTCCATCTTCGAAAAAGGTTGTGGTGAATGATAAGGACGTTATCAGGCTTCTCTTAAATAAAGATGTCGAAGAAGATGTGTCAGATTTCAGCTCATCAGATTCTGAATAATGTTTAAACTGCATATTTTTAAAAAACTAATAAGAAAAGATTTAACCCAAAATTAAGTTTTTCTCTTATTAGTTTTTATTTGTGCAATATCAATTTATCAAATACAATTAACCTTTCAGCAAAAGTAATTTTTATTTGAAAGTTATAAATAAATTTCTGCTAGATCGACAAATTCTCTTACATGTATATGCAAGGGAAAAATTAATTTTAGGTGTTTCTTTTGAAATAAGTTAGTTATCTCATTCATACCAAATTTTGCAAAGATGTTTATATAAATTTCTTAAACATTAAAAAATAATAATTTTATGAAAACTGGTGGAGAAATGTCTTTAATTCTTGCCAAATCGGCCAGATATCGAGTAGGGCAGTTTTATAAAAAGAAAAACAAAAAAATGTTTGAACTAAAAAAAAAAATTATTTTCATACTAATATTGATTAGTAGCACATTTATCTACAAAATAAAAAATTACAAAAATACCATCATTTATACAGAAGTTAATAATAAATCGCCGCTAAATCAACAGTCTCTATCACTGTGTGGTGGTTTCAATATTAACTGCTCTAGTGAGGATGTCTTTTTTACATTCAACTTAAGTTTATTTAAACACAACCATTTGTACAAAGAATCCAAGTCTTCTTGCATTTTAGTCATCGCCGTCTGTAAGTTTCTGTCACTGATCGTTAACAGTGTATCATCAGCGAACAGTTTTAACTTACAGTGCTTGAGTGCCATATTTATGTCGTTAATATAAATATTAAAGAGTACTGGGGCCAATAGCGATCCCTGCGGCAACCCAATATTGACTGCCACTTTATTTGACACACTTGACTCGATTACAGTTTGTTGCATAAGATCTGAGAGAAAGCTTCGAAACCTGTTGAGCTCCGTGTTTTCAAAACCAATGCATTCGAGCTTTTTCAACATTCTTGCCCTGCCAATGGTCCCGAAAGCTCTTTTGAGATCAATAAAACCGCAACGATATTCATCTTCGAGTTAAGGTCTTCCTTCCACTGGGATATAACAAAATTTAGCGCAGTCTCGCAAGAGTATTTAGCTCTAAGACCTGATTGCTCCTTAATGGTTATGTTTTTACTTTCAATGTGGCGCACCAACTGATTTTTAACCACATTTTCTAAGATTTTTTCCATACTAGGCAGTGTACTAATTGGTCTAATTTCCTCAGCTTTTACAGTTTTTTTCACTTTTTTTAACCGGAACTATGGTCGAGGTTTTCCTTTCTTTTGGTTCTGTTCCTGATTCAAGACTCTTATTTATTAATAAGGCGTAAAAGTGTCCCATGTATTCAACTGAATCCTTGATAATACCTTCAGATAATAAATTGTTTCCACCAATTTTATTCTTAAATTTCTTCACTATAAGGATAACATCCTCTGAAGTAATTTTCTCAAATTTAAAGGTGCTTCGACTGTCTTCCTGTCGTAACTGTTCACAATTTACGTTCTCTATATTACTACTTATGTCGACGATACTATCCACAAAGAACTTGTTTAGTTCTTCGGCGATTACCATACTATTTCTGTATATTTTTCCGTTGATAAGAACTTCATTGATATTGTCCCTGTTACCCGTATTATTAACAATATTCTTTAAATATTTCCACATTAAACGACTATCACCTCTATTACTTTCTACCTTGTGTTCCATATGTTGAAGTTTCTTAATTTTAATCATTTTCTTATACTCTTTCTTTATTTTGTTGTAATCTACCCAATCACCTGTGAGTACTGCCCTTTGGTGTAACCTAAACTTGTTTTTATTAGTGTCAGTCAGTTGTCCATCATACCATTTATATCTGATTTTAATCCGCCTTTGTACCCGAGAAGTTAGTTGATTCGTACTCGAAATCAAACAAAGGTTGATATGTTCGAGCATATCATCGAGATTGAAACTATTCAGGTTTGCAAAGTTGCATTGTTGCAACCTCTAGGGTAGTGTGGAATTGCAATAACATACATACCTACCTACATACTGGAAAGTTTATTTAAAGCAAATAGAACCGCAATCCAAATTGAATCTAATCTTTTAAATAATAAAATAGAAACGAACCGTTTAAATATCTTTTATTAATAAAATTTTGTTTACATACAAATTTATCAGAAAATTACTAAACTCAAAATCTTGAATGTTTTTTGTTGGCATCCCAGCTTTAAACCTTTTTTTTAATGAATTGACAACACCAAACACCTCCATGTTTTTATTACAACTAGCGGAATAAAAAGAAGACGCCGGGTTTACATTCGTTGTTTTCAAAATAATACACCTTTAAATCATAAGTTTCGTGGTTTTTTGTTATGGGAAAATTGTAGTTTTGCATCCCCCGCGTACAAAAAAAAGGTGGCTATGGGGGGAGTAGGGGGAGTTCTCCTGATTGCAAATATTAATTTTTATGGAAAAAGCGCCGCAGGCGAAAATTTTTAATAAAAAATCGTGCGATTTTTTATTAAAAATTTTCATTATTTATCGAAGTATTGATTTTTATGGAAAAAGCGGCGCAGGCGAAAATTTTTAATAAAAAATTGCGTGATTTTTTATTAAAAATTTTCATTATTTATCAAATTATCGATGTACGTTTTCTACATTAGGGCCGGTTACTCAATGTCTTGTTAACACTAATCTCCGGTAAAACATTGTTATCGACGTATTCGACTCCATTCATACAACAGGGAGTCGGTAACGTCGATAACTATGTTTAACTGGAGATTAGTGATAACCAGACATTGAGTAACCGGCCCTTAGTGTACTTTGAACTACAATAACACCAGTAAATATTATTTCCACCCGAAAAAAATTATACCGTTATGATCAGGAGTAAGACCCCTATCGATCCTAATATTATAATTTTTAATAAGAGCAATGTATGTACATACGTATTGTACACTTATACTCCTTAATTATACGCACTTATTTGTGGTGTATTTTTTTTAACGTATGGTAGCATACATTTTGTGTTACTGTCAGCCATTGCTATTTCTGCTTGTTTGTGAAATGTGCAGACGTTTGTGAAGATATTTATAAACGCGTTTTACTTAATTAGTTAATAAGGAATTGTATATTGAAGTGGAAAGCTCAGGCCGGGGTTTTAATGCAACTATTTTGCCGAAGTGTGTACATAAATATAGTGTTTATTGTGAGAAATAGCACCGAGAGGTTAGTTCAATTTACAAACTTTAACAACAAATAACTTAAAAACTATAACCCTGCTGCGGCTAAAAGTATATATATTTGCAATCAGGAGAACTCCCTCTACCTTTCCATAGCTATCTTAATGAGGAACTCCGGGGATGCCAAACTAAATTGCAGCCCCAGCCGACATTGAGTTGGTGGAAAAGTGGATCCAGTTCTGCCGGAGACCAACGGATTTCAACGCCCGAACCAGCGTCATCTGTGTAAAACACTTCACCACTGATGACTTCGAGAACGAGCTACCTACGAGAACCTATAAATTGAATCCGGCATCAGATCACATGCAATAAACGGCAACATTTCATTACGATGTATTTTTTACTTATTTGTTATTTGAAAATATAACACGTTCCCCTGATAAAGCTTTTTATTTATACATACTGACCTTCTGCTTCCTACCGGAAATGTTAAGCCGTATGCATAAAAACTAAGCAATTGCTTTTTTCTTGAAATTGCATACCTTTCACTTAAATTTGTTGGAACATAATATTTGAATTATTAATAAACAAGCACATGTACTTATTGCCAATAACAATTTCTATTTTATTTAGTTTTAAACTTTTCTTTATATATTTATGATTACATAAATCGGTTCTCGTTTTATTACACAGGATCATCTCTACTTTTTATAGAAAATTTTGAAAAAAAGTGAAACTAAGTGAAGTAATTTTATTATTGGCAGAATTAGTGTCTAACCCTACGTGACTGCTTCTAAAAGCTATCGTGTTTCACGTGGCATATAAGACTTAATTTCATTATTACATTAGTGTTTTTTATATGTATGTATATGAATAGGATATTATATATTTATGTATTTAAAAACCCACAACTTTAAGACCGCGCATCTGAACTTGTTAAAATCTTGCCGTGTCACAATCATATTCGTAATTATATAAGGAAAACTACGAAGAATATGAAAAAGAATATCAGTACTGCGAAGATTTTTATCATCAGTTTGGAAGTACTTCAATATTTCACCATGCGCCGCTTCTATGTTCAATTCGGCATCTTGGATGTTTGTATCGATACGCTCTACAGTCTCCTCTTGCTCCTTAACCATATGTGCTGATTGTTGAAATATACCGCCTAGCTCGACAATAGTCGATTCAATGTTCTGCATAGTCTCAGCCCGCTGTTGCACGTAACTATCGGAGTCATCATATAATGCAATCTGCTGCTGCGTCTGTATTCCACTACCTCAGACTGCACCCAGCAATGGTGTTGTATCACTTGCGGCCATGTCAATGCTTACGGCCGTATTCTCTTCGCTTAACAGCAAGGAGCCCTGTTTCGCTGTACTCCAGCGAACAGTGCTAGCAGCAATTGGTGACTGCCCGAATTGATCCCGACGCGCTTTTTGTTGTTTGAGATTTTTTATACGCACTTCTAGTATCTGTTTGAAGTCGGTGCCCATGCTGGCTAATTTAGATTGTAACGCATACACCATGATGTAAGTCAATTCTTGAATCTATTGCGGTCGATCATCAAAAAGACTCTTCTTTTTAGCCACTGCAAAAGAAGAGGTAAAGTAATATTTATAATTAAGAACACCTATTCATTTTATACTCACGCATTGTCAATTTTTCCAACTTGGCATATGCACTTGCTATGTTTTTGCCAATATATTTGTGACCATCATAAATTCCTTTCATACGTCAATTGTTGCACCATAGCCTGTAAGAAATGCGTAAACATAATAATGTAAACGTCTTCAAATGCACTTCTACTTCTAACCTACTTGTAAGTCTCTAATCAGTTGCTCGTACATAAATTGCGTCTGCGTCGAGGTCTCTATCCGATTGCGGCCTTGGTTTACATCGGCCTTATCCGACAACTGGCGTATGATAAGCTGCGCCATTTCCAACTCATTTGACTTTTCTTTGAACTGATGTTCAACATCGGGAGCACGTTGCTGCATTACATCTAACAGCTTTTTCATTTCATCCAGATGAGCCGCTTGATGTGGCCAACACCCAAAAGATTTGTTTACAAAGTGCATTTTTGAGTAGTTGAACAAATGCCAGTGGGCAGCTAGCGGGTCAGTTTCTGGCAACAATTTGCAGGCTTGGGCCAGCGTTTGTTGCGGCTGCCGGAAAAGTAGCTAAATAATGAAAGTAATTATATGTATAGCGGAGTAGGAGGTTTTCCTTTATTTTAAAAGCTTGCTTACTGATTTCACTAATTGACGACGATGCAACGATCACCGTGGAATCGTTCTGCAAATTGTTACCAGCAACTGACCCGCTGGCGGCCCGCTGGTATTTGTTCAATTACTGAAAAAATGCAAATCATTATAATGATTGCAGCGTTTTAACACTTTTAGCGATTTCCATTGCATTAAAGAAGTACACATTCTTTACTTTTAAACAACCAATTTACCATTTAAAATTAAATAATTCCGTAAATCCGCGATTTATTATGCACTTTGTAAACAAACCTTTCAATTTCGCCCCAGCTGCTCGATTCTTCTTCATTTTCTTATTGAATTCGTCTTTGCTCTCTCATTCTGGTATTTTTTGACGGCACGGCCAGTTGCTCTCAGCTCGATTGGCGCAATCTTGTATTCTATCATTCTTGGGTGTTATGCAGAAATTTTGTTTGGCAAACTGCGTGCAATTGTTGTTGCAGCAAACTCGGAGAGAGCGAGTTTGGCGACTCTCACAGCAAACTAATTTTGTTTGGTCAAACTGCAGCAAATTCGGTGTTGTCATATACAAAAATTTTAAATTGTGTGCGTTATGTACATCTGAAATTCTCATTTCGTGTTGGCAATAGCCATGAAAACCATAATGAACGTGCATCCCTGTGCCAAACTCGACATAACCACCTCCGAGCAAACTAAGCAGCCGCCATTTAATTTGGCAAACAAAAGTTATTCTGCATAACACCGACCTAACTTTGGAATGGCGTACAAAAGTAAGTTTCCGCCTCCGGGTTCTTAGTACTGGCAGTAATACGCGTCGTTCTATACCCCCTTATTTTGTATCAATTTTCGGTGGGGAGCATGAACTGAACCAAAACCCAACTTGGAACCTGTGGCCCCTAGCTCGTAGTTTTCAATTGGGGTGTTCACAGTTCGTTCCAAATTGAGTCTGAAAATGTAGACGTCTACATTTTGAGACACTTTTAGCATCAAACTGTGAGCACCCCTTTCTAGCAGTCGTCGCAAAATCGTCTCAAAACTTTGCTGGTGTTGCCAGACATTTCTTCCTTGCATGCATTTTTTATATGTCGCCTTTCGATTTTGTTTCTGAAAAATTGTAATTATTTAACTTAATTAGCAATTCGTAATATTTGTTATTTCTTTTCCTTGATTTGTTTCTTTTCATCAGAAATTGCGCTCAAATTAAATGCAAATACGGAAAACGTGCCCAATAAATAAAAAAAATGTGATTAGTATTGCCATAA